CGCTGCCCGCCGCCTGGTAGGGTCACAGATCCGGGTCCCAGACCGCAGACAGCCTTGCCTGCTGCCGCCTGCCTTCAGTATGCAAATTAGCCGCCATCTTGTTGCTTCAGGGTGGGGGTCCCCACTGGGGTGCCTGGCCAGTCTGGGTGAGGGGCTGAGGGCCGTTTTCAGGCTGGCGGGCGACTGAAGCTCCAAACCTCTCCTTTTTTTCTTTTTTTTTTTATTCTGGCATTTATTTACCTTCTATGGCTGTCACTGGAGCTGAGAGCCGGCTTTCTCTCTGAGGCTCGGCTGCTGAAAGCAGGTTTCTGGCCTTTGTTTTCTGTATTCGAAACAATGTTGCGACTCCAGCTCTGAGATCCCGGCTGACTGACAGGAGGTTTCTGGGGTTTTGTTTATCTTCTATAAATGTTACAATGTTTCCAACTGAAGCTCAGAGGCCGGCAAGGCAGGCGGGGAACGTTGGAGTCCTCTGTCACTGAAGGAAGCAAGCCTCCCTGTTCGCATCAGCTGCCTGGCTGCCGGCCGCCATCTTGGCTGACAGTTAATTTGCATATCTCCCTGATTAGCCAATGGGAAGGGTAGCGGTCGTATGCTAATTACCATGTTTCTCTTTTATTAGTGTAGATTATAAATTTACTTATGGAGGGTGAATTCATGAATCACTTTTTCTCACTAGGTTTTATTTTGGATGATAAGCATAGCTTTTTTAAAGGATGATAATTATTTCTGTAGTTTTATTCCATTTTTTTCTAAGTGTTTTGGGAGTTGTAGATAATTTTTCCAAGTAAAAGAACTTTGAACTACTGTTTATTTTCTCTATGTCACTTATTCCAAAATGATAATATGATAATTATAGATTAATAATTTTCAAAACTTTCTAAGTTATGTAATTTTGTAGGACTAAGGCAAAGTACTTACAGTAAGCAAAATCTGCATTAGGTTTCTTACTAATGCATTTAAATATATTTGATTGGGAAGGAGAGAAAGTAAAGCTAAAATGATAGGATTTAGACTTAAACCTACAAGCTTTTTTAAAAAAATAGTTCATGGATTTTTAGAGAGAGAGAGAGAGAGAGAGAGAGAGAGAGAGAGAGACTTCCATGTGAAAACACAACATTGATCTGCCTCTTGCACGCCCCCCACTGGGGATCAAGCCAGCATGTGCCTTTGACTGGGAATTGAACCCTCAGCCTCCTAGTGTAGGAGATGATACCCAACCCACTGTGCCACACCAGCCAGGACTCTACAAGCCTTTTTAAAAAGAGAATCAGTCATCTGATTTGCCCATTAATTAAGAAATTAAAATATTCACAATATTTTCAAAATATTCAAAATATTCACAATCTAAGAAGCAGTTTTGGCAGGCTTGACAAGTAATCATTTATTTTTTATGCTTAAAATTTTATATTACATCCATTAGACTAGACCAAAAACAATGTTTATTTGTATTGTACTTAGCTGCAATAGCAGTGTGTTAATTCATTTTAAAATTGTGTATCAACACTGGGCAATGGAAATGTTAAATTTTTGTTTTTTGTTTGGTAATGCTTAATATTTGTTTGATTAGGCATTTTGTGCGAATAGTACTGTATACATTATTAATACACTAGAGGCCCGATGCATGGAATTCGTGCAAGAGTAGGCCTTCCTTCCCCTGGATGCCAGCACCAGCTTCCCTCTGGTCTAATTAGCATATTATGCTTTTATTATTATAGATTAAACTTTTGGTTTTTCTTCAAGTAAATTGAAAAATCATGATAATTTTAAATCCAGTCTCTCTTAGAGCTTTTCAGAAGACAATCAGAAAAATAACATTCCTGACCAGGACAATGACATAGTCTCCTTGTAGTAGACTCTAACAGAAATTTCTTTGATTCAGGTGGTTGTCAATATTTTGATCTGTTTGATTTTTAATGTTGTACATAAAATAGCATTGCTTCCAAATTCAGCATTTAAAAATAACTCAATTTTTATTAAGCTGAATTTTTATTAAGCTAAAGTTATGCTTATTCATTGTAGATAATATAGATCAGGAGTCAACACAATTTCCTTAAAGGGCCAGTACTAAGAATTTAGGCTTCAAAAGCCATCTCATGTTTCCGGTCTATATTCAACTCTGCCCTTGTAGTGGGAAAACAGCCAGGAACGATAGGTAATGAACAGGGTGGCTGTGGCTGTGTTCCAGTAAAATTTATTTACTAAAACAGGCCATGGACTGGATTTGGCTTAGAGGCCATAGCTTGCCCACTCCTGATACAGAAAATAATTAAGAAAATGAAAATAACTAAAGCTGCGGTTTGCCTTGGACAGAGCTGGTTTGTACTTTGTGTCCCAATGTAACTATTAGTGGCTATCCCTTTCATTCTGAAAAATGTCCTGATTTCAATGATAACCAGTAAAAATAACCTTTAGCAGCGGTCCCTTCCTCCAGAAATACTAGCTGGTATATCAGATTTTTGTAGTATATGTATTTTATAAAAACTATGTATAAAAAAACCACACCATATACATTTAATTAACCTAGGTTTTTCACCTAAAAGTATATATTTTGATCATCTTGCCAAACCATTAAATATTCTGTGACAACGTGATATTTAATGAGTATATAATATGATATTTATGGATATACTATAACTTATTCAAATGCTACCTATTTGACATTTGATTTTCTCTTTCCCAATATTGTATTATTATGAACACATCTTTGCAGCTAAGTATTTTTTCTATAATTATTTCTTTCAGATAAATTGTTATCAGTGGGATTGTTGATTTAAAAGTTGTGAAGACTTTTGATGCTATTTCTATTTATTGCCAAGTTATTTTATCAGAAAGGCTGTGTCAGTTTTTTTACATACAACTAATAGTACCTTGGGGTATCCTTTCTCCTATGTTTTGCAAGACGAGATGTGTCAGAAAGGCTGTGTCAGTTTTTTTTTTACATACAAATAATAGTACCTGGGGGTATCCTTTCTCCTATGTTTTGCAAGACGAGATGTTATTTAAATGTTTTTATTTTTGCTAATTTAATGGGTAGAAAATAATGAGTATGAATATTTTAAAACATTCATCCTTCCATTTGTATTTTATATTCTGTGAATTGCTTATTCATATCCTTTACTCGTTTTTCATTATGTTAGTCTTTTTCTTACTGAATTTAGAAAGCATTATATAAATTAATGATATTGGCCCCTTTTACCCAATATATCATTAACATTTTAATGAGTTTTTCAATACATAGGACTTTTAATTTTTCTATATTGAAATTCATCCAAAATTTTGTCTTGATATTTTTTTTATCAGTTATTAGAAACAAAATATGAGTTCTCCTGACCTAAATTTATTAGCCTGCAGTTCCACTAGTTGGTCCTAACTCCTACATAATATTTTATTTTAGTAATCTTCATTAGGAAATTGTTCTCTGAGCAGACTTTTTTTTTTAAACCATCTGTCTTAGTCTGTTTGGACTGCTATTCCCAAAATACCAGAGACAGGTGGCTTAACCAACAGATTGTTATTTCTCACAGTTCTGGAGGCTGGGAGGTCCAAGATCACAGTGCTGTCTGTGTCTGGTGAGGGCCCACTTCCTGGTTCCTAGATGGTTCTTCCCACTGTGTCCTCATGTGGCAGAAGGTGCAAGGGCGTTTTCTCAGGCCTCTTTGATAAGGGCACTAATTCCATTCATGGGGGCTTTACCCTCATGACCTGATCATCTTGGAATTCTCTCTACCTCAGAGATTGTGGTTGTCCTGATAGGAAGTGATGAGGGACAAAACTAAAAGAATGAGGATGGATACAGAGGGGCAACCTGACGGGACCAGGGCTTGGTGACTGAGTGAACGTGGAGGAGAAGGGAATGCAAGATAACTTGGTGGTTTGGGGCTTGAATAGCAAGAGTGTTGGTATTACCATTTACAGTAATTTGAGTGAAACGACGGTTTTTAAAATTTTGTTTAAATTGACTGACTTCGATGTGGCTTTGAGATGTCAAAGTATAGATGCCTCAGTAGCAGAGACACAGATATAGACCCTTGATGTTTGGATAAAGATTTGGAGTTGAGATCTTGGACCCTGAGGTGTTAAATAGAAGACGACCAAGATTTGAGCTGTGGTAAACACAGAGAAGGAAAATGAAGATTTAAGATGGAAGAACAATAATATTATTGGTGTGATCAAGAGAAGGGGGAGTTTTGAGAGGGTTGGAATGGTGAATTGCATTTGACACAGTGATTTGTAATGGGTATCTTTGAGTTGTAACTCCATCATCTGATCTCTACTAGGGAGAAGGAAAATGAAGAAGATTTAAGGTGGAAGAAGAACAATAATATTATCGGTGTGATAAAGAGAAGGGAGAAATTTGAGAGGGTTGGAATGGTGAATTGCATTTGACACAGTGATTTGTAATGGGTATCTTTGAGTTGTAACTCCATCATCTGATCTCTACTAGGGCAGGAGGAAGGGGATGTGGAACCCAGTTCCTAGAGACTGTTTGGAATGTGTGGGGGTATTGGAGGTTGTCCTAGTGATTGGAGGGCATTTAGTGTGGGTATCTTTGAGTTTTAACTCCATTATCTGATCTCTACTAGGGCAGGAGGAAGGGGGAGTGGAACCCAGTTCTTAGAGACTGTTTGGAATGTATTGGAGGTTGTCCTAGTGATTGGAGGGCATTTAGTAATTTCAAGCCCAAAATTTTACTATCACCTCTGCTGAGAATTGTGGTGCCACGGGTCTATTTTGGTTCCCACACGCCACTAGGTAGTTCATAGGACTGTCTACCTTATAAATATCTAGAATTGAGCCCTCCCCTCCCCCGACTTCTCACAGCCACTGCTTTAATTGAGGCTCTCACTGTTTCCTGATTGGACTATTAAAATAACTTCATACCTTGATTATATACCCCACCTCTCCTCCATGACCACTAGAGCTGACTCTGAAGTAAGGAATTATATCATGTCACTTCCCATTGCCTGTAGGTTAAAGTCAAAATTTCTTAAAATGGAAAAACAATCCCCTCCAGATCTGTCACTAAGCAAATTCTCTCACCTCTGTATATCTCTGGTGCTCTAGCTAGTCCCCCACATTCCTCGGATAAACCTCCCTTTTTTGTAGCGCTATGTATGTCAGTGCCCAGGTCCCTTTGTCTGGGCTTGAATTTCCCTTTCCCACCTAGAAACCTATTTCCTTTGAGAATCAGCTCTTAACGCCACCTACTTTACCAGCACAATCAGGCCTCCTCTCTGTGCTTCAGAATTTTTCTGCACACTCTGCTATCGCACTCACCTGTTTTATTTATTTACATGTTTGTTTCCCCTCTAGCCTCCGGAGTACCTCTCAAGCAGAAACCCTATCCTTTTTGTTTCTCTGGCACCCTAGCTGCTGTAGAATTAACAGTTCTACTTTCCTAGTTTTGCTTTCTGTTAGAGACCCTTTAGAGCCAAGTGTAGTTATATTGGTAATTAATCTGAATCACACACTGGGAAATCAATGTGTATACACTTTAACAATTGATATTTTTTTATTGCAATTGAGTAAAATGGGATACTTACTCTGTGATATAGTACATTAGTGTTAAAGTATTCAAGCCTGATATTTATTAGTAGGCCCAACATGAATCTTTGCTGACATTTGAGGTTTGTGACATTTCCTGCACATTCTTTCTTGACTGGAAGGCATAAATGATTGACAGTAAAGAGCAATTAATAATTTTCCAAGTAAGACATTTTCAGGAGCCTCTGCCTTTATTGCTTGCCAGATGAGAGTACAACCTGTTTCTATGTGTTTAAAAGATGATTTCAGTTTTTTGCTCAGTTTTAAAAAAATGACACTTTTGTAAATTTTGCAAGATTAGCAGAAGCAAAATTTTTGAAAGTCTGCTTTGTTAATTGGTAGGTGCCATATTTGCTCTTTATCTAGACTTTTTATGTGAAGCATACTATTTTTAATGCCAAGTTATATTGTTTACTGAGTACTACCTGTTCCATCCAGCAGAGTAAAATATTAGCAATAATCATTAACAATCTTTATCATTATCTTATATTTTTGTTTCCTTTGCAAAATAGGCGAGTGGTGTGTATAAAGGAGGTTGAAATTCTTGGCCTTATGTGCATAGACTGGCAGTGTCTATTTGAAGATTTTGTATTTCCTCCTAGTGTCAATGGAAACATACTAAACATTTCAGTTAAGGTAAGAAAACTTGAGTCACATTTTTAGAGCCAAGAATTTGTTAAATGAGTGGAAACCAATGTTTTTGACTCTTTTTTTTTTAAGTTAACTACACAAAATAATTGAAGGATTGTTATTGGCTGAAATGTAAGAAAAGGTATAATTGATTTATTGGTATACTGTACTTTATTTTCTGGCAATCCTTGATTGTGTGGAGTGAAATATCAATTCTACTGATAATTCTAGGATGCTGATACTTCCTCTTTGGGGAGAATGAGGCATTAGTAAATAAAAGGTCTTTTTAATTTCATATGAATATCTGTTTTGCTCTAATCTCAGGTACTTCTGGAACGATTCCATTTTTTAGGCATTTAGGAGGTTATTATAAATATAATGTCTAAAACACCCATGTTTTATGATATTGGGCATTTTTAGAATGCTAAACAATTGAAGTATATAATAATACTTTCAAGTATTTCCTCCCCATCATTTTCTAAGGAATAACTTTAATTATATAGCAGGTAATTAGCAAAAGTGATAGCCCATTTTTTGCTTAGTTCTCAGACTCACTTTACTTTGATATCTATATGTATATATATATATTTATATATGATGTATTATAAACTTATTTTAACCTCTTTACAAGAAACTAAAAATTGTCACTCCAAAGATGGTGTTTTTCCTGAACAGTAATGATGTTTCTCTATTACTGAATCTATCTGAAAAACATGTATCAAAAAATTTAATAGTTAGAGATGCAAGTACTATTATTTTTTAATTTATGTTTTCTTTCATAGAAGTTTACAAATGAAAGAAACTACCATGAAACTATGGTATTTTGTATTCCAGCCTTCCCTCCTTGTAGAGTGTCAAAATGTAGAGTGCCTTAGTAAATGAGACGTAGTTTTCAAGCTAGGAAAGAATGTGTCACTGTGCAGATATATTACAGTTTCCTTGTTTATCACTTCTCTTTCACATCAGTGGTGAGAATCGACCCAATGTATTTTGCATTATATAAGAATTTTATCTATCAGCCAAGGAAATGAAGGAAGGGTTTTTTGATTTGTCAGATGTGATGGTAAATATCATAGCTTGCAAAAAGTCATTATTTTATACAGATAGATGCATACTCCTCCAATTTCATAAATTCTAACAACTCACAGATGGAACCACTGTTCTTGTAGCAAAATGACTTATTTTTTATTCTACCTGACTGTGTATTTTATATGGTTATAAAATAGAATTGACATTTAAGCATCCAATTAAAGGTTATGAATATTTTCTTCTTCTCCAAAATAATCTTTTCTGTCATTCTTTCTTTTGAAATAGGATCAGAGTATGTTCCACAAAAAAGATAGTGCCAATCAATCCTGTCTCCGGAAAATTTACCTGCTGGATACCACCACAGCAGAGGTAAACAACTTATTTCAAAGAACATCCCCTCAGTTTTTTAGCTGAAAGATATTTTAAAAATAGGTTATAGTTACCAATACCCATTATTTCTCCCAAAAGATCTTCCAGTTATGTTTGGATGGCTATATGAGCTTAAAATAATATACTGGGCTCAGTATGCCAGAAGAGTCTTATTTTGCGTTACACGTGTGGTATATTCTTGTCCTTGGCTCTTGGACCTGTGTGGAAGGCTCCAGCTCTTGCGTTTGTACCTTTTTCTTCCACCAAATTAGCCTGTACTTCTCTTTACCATTTATAATAAATACTTTATTTTGCAGAGAGCATGTCATGCCATTGAGGATGCACAGTCCATGAGACACCAGCAAAACTTGAGGAAGCAGTCATCACTGAAACTTCTCAGGCCCTAAGTACCTTGTAATCACAGATCCTAGGGCTGCTCCTGGGAGAAAATCAGTCATGTCTGTGAACCACCCTTCTTTATCTTACCAAAGAGAACATTTGAAGCAGTCCTTTAGTTGTAGATTTTTTTTTCTAGAATAGCTGGATACTTGGTTTTCCATCCATGTCTGTGAACCACCCTTCTCTATCTTACCAAAGAGAACATTTTAAGCAATCCTTTAGTTGTAGATTTTTTTTTTCTAGAATAGCTGGATACTTGGTTTTCCATGTTTTTTTCCTTTGGTTTTGACTCTAATTTTGTAGCCATGTGTATGTTAATAATCCGCTCTACAGTGCCACCAAATGGGTCAGACCCTTAAAGAAATATCACTTCCAACTGAGTGAAATTTCCATTCATGTTAATATTGTGAATCAAATGATAATAAACTTGTTTTTAATTAAAGCCTTTACTTGAGAATAAGAAAGGAGCTCAGATTCAAATTGTTATTTGAGAGGTTTTGGACAAACCTTTGGACAAATATTGGATATGTTTGTTCAGTAACTGAACTAACATTTTTGGTAAATGCGGCAATTGACTGAAGAGAAGCCACTAAAGGGAGACATGATGGTTCCTTTTTTTTTTCTCATGAAAAATATTGTTCTCCTAATAAAAATGTTTTGTTTTGGTGCTTATTCTCCCTCCTTGCATTATAATATAAAGACATGAAAAATCAAAACTTAAAATATCAATGCTCTGCTCTCTATAATGTACCATTTACAAAATTTTGGAAATTATTTACATGTCCTTTCAAGATGAATTTATATAGCACAACTATAATTTGCTGATACATGAAACTATTGCACTTTAAGTTTTAAAGATTTAGAAGTATGAAAAGTTTCATAGTTTTATATCTCCAGAAATTGTTTTTCATAAGTTGAAAGATTTTTAAGGGCATTATAAATGAACAGTTATAATGCATGCCTAGAAATTTATTTTAAATACTTAATAGGAAGAATGAAAAACCTCTAGTTGCTTTATGTATAAGCAAAATAAGGCATATATAACAACCCTGGAAAATAATTGGTAGATAGGTGTTTTGAGGGAGCAGGCCTATGAGGGTCGATTCAGTATACAGTATTTTTTTGTTCTTTCTGCATCTTGCTTATGCTGATTAAAGATATACTGCCTACTAAAGCTTTTTTAAAATTCTCAAAAGTACTTAATTTCCTTGGATGAATCTTTAAATTTGCTCATGGTTTTTAACATGGCATTTATTTCAAATCACTGAATTGATGATGAAATGAAGATATGAACACACTTGGTTTGTTCTGTTTTTGTTGGCATGTGGTAATGTTTTTACTATCTTTATTCATGTTTTTTTAAAAACTGGCCTTAAAACGCTAAAATTTTTTTTCTAGTTATTATTTACTGCAGATTCCAAAAAAGAGGATGTAATAACTGATTCCCTAAATACTTGACCTTTGATACAGTATGGTGATCTCTGCTGTCTTTTCAACATCTTTCTTTTTTTCTGTGAAGAAAAGTATCATTTATAAAACTTCTAGGATTACACAGAATTCATCAGTAGTTAATTGCAGTTTATGAAAAGGAGCGTTACAAACAGAATTTCATAGCAGGTGTGCTGTATTTTGTGTTTTACAACTGACTTAATCAGGAATCTGATATATCTATTTTTCATATGAATCATAGTTATTGACAATGCCCTAAATATTTAAGAAATTGTATTGTACTAATGGCATGCACAAAACATTGAACTAAGGAAAAATTATGAATTCCTCATCTCAAGTTGGCTTAAAAATAAATTTTCAAATATTGGTAACATTTTAATTTGGTTAATCCCCTGGGACAGAAATAATTTATTAGTAAGGTATAATAATGTCTTTTGTGTTTTTAAAATGCTTTGAGAGTTTATTATTTGCATATGAACTACTGAGAGAAATAAAACATTTGGTACATTCTTTACAAGTGTGAGTTAGTGTTAAATATTCAAGTAACATTTTACGTTTCCCCTTTCCTCTTCCAATCCTATGATAGTGAGAAGTTCGATTAATAATGATGGAGGGCTCTGACAGCTGTCAGTCTGGTTTTTTGTATCTACTAGTCTGTTTCTATTTTGTTTGTTTATTTTGTTCATTAGATTCCCCATATAAGCGAAATCATAGGGTATTTGTCTTTCTCTGACTGAGGAGGGGAGGGAGATCGGGGAGTCGGTGGGGGGAGGTAGAAAAGGGTAAAGAGGGGATAAGTGGTAAGAAAGAGACTTGACTTTGGACGATGAACACGCAATACAATAAACAGATGATGTATTATAGAAGTATACACTTGAAACCTGTAAAAAATTTTATTAGCCAATGAAACCCCAATAAATTCAATGGAAAAAGAAAAAAAATAGTTATGGAGGGCTTTGTAAGACACTAGTCAGGGAAAGGTTTTCCTGAGGGTACTGTGCCCTTTACCACATTGTATATCTATGGCACAGAGCTTCAATACTGGAAGACTACAGAGAACGTATTTCACCTAGGGCTCAGCTGCCCCACTTTGGAATCGCAGCTGGGTTTGCAGTGAGGCCATGCCTTTTATGGTGTCTGTCAGACACTGACCGTGAATGACAAGGAGGTGCATTCCTGGGAGACCCAGAGGTCCTCTGACTGCGGACTTTGGCTTGAAGACTCTTAATCCTTGTAGAAGCTTTCTTCGACTGCATGGCAGGGTGGGAGGCCACCACCCAATTTGTCTTTCTGTCTCTGTCTTTTTGGTCCCATCTCCCTCCTCCTTCCTCCACTGGGAGATCAGTGCACAGATTTCCTTACATGTGTTTCATGATACAGTATTGCTTTCATTCTGAATTATGTATGAGGAAAACACTGTCATCTTTTTGATGCTTTGGGTCTCTTAAGTGTGTTGATCTAGTGCTGCCTGTATCTATTTTTTTTTAATGTTTTCATTGATTTTCAGAGAGAGAGAAAGATACAGTGATAGAAACATCAGTGAGAGAGAAATACCAATCAGCTGCCTCCTGCACACTCCCTACTGGAGATCAAGCCCACAACCCAGGCATGTGACCTGACCAGGAATCCAACCGTGACTTCCTGGTTCATAGGTTGACACTCAGCCACCAAGCCACACCAGCCAGGCCTGTATCTGTATTTTTAACAACGCTCCACATGTGTTTCTAAGGTACAGCCAGGACTAAAAATCAATGTTCTGGACTTAAAATAATCTCTTGAAGAGCTAGAAATATAAATGCCAGTTAAAGTACAGGATTGCAGTCATTGTCCAAGCTAGAAGAACTCTTTTTATTGGGGAGGACACAAAAGAGTCTTAATTTACAAGCATGTCAGAATCATCTGTCCTCAAGGGACAAGCCCTTTTGGCTGAGAATCCCTGCCAGACTGTCCACTAATGCTGATGAGAGTGGGCTCTGTGCTGCGTCGGCTCTGAAAGGAAGCGGAAAGCCCCTTCAGCAGAGGGAGCACGTTCCTCTCGGTAATGGTGCCTGCAGTGTAAGAATTTTGGCTTATTCTTGAATTCATGCCCTAAAGTTTCTTCAGCTACAGGTTGCACCATTCAAGTACTCAACATTGTGGGTCTCTTTAAACTGGAAAAGCTGTCAGAAAGGCTTTTTGTTTGTATTTGTACAGGTACAGACCCACAGCCCCTTACCAAAATTCAAATAGCTCTGAAAACCAAAAGGCTTTTCCTAACTTTGAAACTAAAGACATCTGACAGCAAAATTTTTTTTTGATTTTTATTTATTTCAGAGAGAAGGGGAGAAGGAGAGAGATAGAAACATCAATGATGAGAAAGACTTATTGATTGGCTACCTGCTGCATGTCCCCTACTGGGGATCGAGCCCACAACCCGGGCATGTGCCCTTGACCTGGAATCGAACCCGGGACCCTTCAGTCGCCTGGCTGAGGCTCTATCTACTGAGCAAAACCAGCTATGGCTTGACAGCAAAATTTTAAACGGAACTGACTAGAGGCTAATTGTGGTCTTTATTCTATTTGGTGTAAATGAGTTTGGCTGTAGCAGAATTAATATATGTGATTATGGGGTGCTGCCGCAGGCTTCACTGGAAGTGTACAAGCTATGTGGCATAGGACGTATATTGCTCTCCTAAAAATTGAAAGGATCATACTCTGAAACACATCTGGGCCCAAGAGTTTCAGGTAAGAGATTATAGGTCTGTATCCATTCAAAATGATCAATTCATTCAAGTTGCTTCCCAAGTTTTAGGAGAATTATAAACATAGGAGAAACCCTGAGGGACTCTGCTAATGTTCCATTTTACAGTATGCTGGTAAATTACTTTGATAAAGTGTTCAAAGTAATTGATGCTGACATATAGGAAACAAATGCCATATGATAGTGCATCATAAAGATTTATGGAAACGAGAAAAAAATGAAAAACAGAAGAATATAGTCATGATTTCTATCCCTCTTGTATACTAATTAATTAAATATCTGATAAAGGTTTTTAGAATTGACCTCTAAAGTAATTAAGAGTAGCAATGAAAAAGCCATCCTGATCCTCTAGGTTGATAGTACCCACTGAAATAACAGTGGACACTTTACAAAGAGGATTTAGTTCTGTAGTATTCCTTTTAACTTGAAGAACAATCACATGACTTCCCCAGAGATTGACTATAAAGCTAAGTTTCCCAGTTGGTGTTTAAATTCTGTGATAAATAATTTTCATCAAAAATAGATTTCAGATATTAGTCTTTGGGTGTTATTGTTTTTGGAGAAAATGTCTATAACTCCAGTTTTTCTCTGACAAATCAGTTTCCTCACTTGTCATCTTCATTTAAGCCTTCCTTTTTTATTCATAATTTTCTCTATCTTTTCTTTTTATGGTACTTCTCTCTTTTTAAATGCTCTGTATTAAGTAGATATCATGCCAGCGATTGGCAAATTACATCCCATGAGTCAAATAATTTATTCATGTAAATAAAACTTTATTGGAACATAGCCACACTCATTCATTTGCATTTGTCATGGTTGTTCCTGCACTCTAATGGCAGAGTTGGGTAGCTGTGACAGAGACAACATGGCCAACAAAACCTAAAATATTTACTATCTGACCCTTTACAGAAAAAGTTAACAATGAATGAATCTAATACATGGGACAGAAACAAAACACTATATGGTT